CGTGACCATGATTGCTGTAAAGCATTCGAAACGTTGGGAACCAAAAATCAAAATAAATCCGCGAAATAATCTGAAATGATGTTTGCATGTCTTACTCCAAATCGTAGTCTATAATAATGTACAAAATTTCATCGAAATCCGACCGTTTCAGCGTAAAAGAGTAACAAACACACATACCTTTATCAAACCTCTCCAAAAAAACAAACGCAGATACATTTATCAAATTTCTTGAAAAATAAAATAAGATATTAATGTTAAAACTAGAGATATACTTACTGTGATATATCAGAGTAAAATTATTTATTATAAGCGAAAATGCAATAGCAATAGCAGTTGTGTTAGTCATCTCATTTTTATAATCCAAATCAAATTATCAATCTATAAAAAAATAACAAAATTTTCAATTCGGTCCGTTCAATGGTCACTAACTATTGGCAAACACAATTCAATTCAATTCTCTTATTAATGGCTTCAAAGCGTACCTGGCAAATACTATATTATATTTAGGTACTGCTTCGAATTATGCTTTAACGTTCTCGACCATCATACAAATAGATGGTCATCATGGCACGTTATTTTTAATTCTGGTCGTATATGGATTTAGTTTTGAGAATGAAATTTGCGGTATATAGAGTAAACTTAGCAATTCACAATACAAGTGACATACGTCATATTATTTACCACAGATTATAAAATTCATAACATATTATATGGAAGTTAGAGAACTGGAATACAAACCTTATTTATAATTAATTCGATACAGACTGCTAACAGATAACATTAGAAATAAAATGCCTCCGACGCGCTTAATTTATGTTTGTTCGGTTTAATCTCATACTGTAGGGATTTTCATATTATTTTCATCAATATTACTATGAAGCTAAGCTTTCTATTATTTTACGAAAATAATCTAACCGTGTAATGATATTTGCTATTAAAATTGGAAAGGAAATTCATTCTGAGAGGTTCTGTAATATTATAAATATTTATAAAAAAATAAAAATCGTAAGTTTTAAGTTTGTATGTCTTATATACAAATAAATAAAATGGAAGTGTCTGTTTGTAATGTCAAAATAACAGCTTTTTACTAAATGTACATGAAAGTATTATATACGGTACTTATATCGGAAAAATCAATTTTTAAATTTTTTGTCTTTCGGTCTGTTTGTTCGGCTAATCTCAGAAACGGCTAGACCAATTTTGTTGGAGCTTTCACTGGAAGATAGTTGAAAACATAAGAAGTAACTAAGGCTACTTTTATTTTAACAAAATAATTAAAAAAATATTAAAACCTATGAAATTGTAAACAAAATCCGCTCACTCAGGGTCACATCTAGGCTCAGTCGCTAGTTATCAATAAATATAGAAAGTATTAATAATATTTGATCAAATTGTGAATTCACTTTCTTTTTCAAAGTATAGACATTGCTATTTTAATTACCTAACAATCAATTGTGCAAATGCTGCCAAGCTTTTCATAAAGCATCGATTAGATACTTGACGACCGTTAACACTGTCATAAAACTACTTTAATGCCGAATATTTTGGATGTCAAAGTATTATATCAGAAGTTCAACACATTTGAAGTCGACCTCAAAATATAGATTTTATAACATAAGAACTCAATGTTAATAATGAAAAATTTTATAACTTAATAGCTGCTCACCTTCGCTTCGCTCGGGTTCGTCCCTAGGTGTAATGGTTAGTACCTATGTAGTAAGATAGTCGATCCTTGTTTTGTGATAAATAAATCTATTCCACGGGAATTTTACATTTTTCCGGGATAAAAAGTATCGAGACCCGAGGTTTGAACCCGCTTCACTCGGTTTCCCAAACGAGGGTGTTACCACTGGTCTACCACTGCTTTGAACATAATTTATATTAACTAAATTATAATTAACATAAATAAATGCATTTTTGGCAAGTTTTGGAACTAGTTAAAACAAATCAAATGAGCGCAAACTTAAAAATTTTCGTAGAAGCCATTGAAGGGTTCCACTATCCACCACCTGACTTCATCATTAGATTAGCTCAATGATGACAAGAAGTAAAAAAGATTTAAACCTATGGGTATTTTAAAATGTAGGTACTTAATATTTACGGTAGACCTATCTTTTCGGGAATCTATCTAGCCATTTTATATATGTAAAAATTTGTACGTATATTTGTTTATACGGCTGGGCGGATTTGGATGAATACACAGACAAACATTAAGACCTGGAGACCCCTAGGAAAGCACAACCGAAAATATTTTCAATCGAAAGGATATCGTGTAAACGGATCTCAAAAAACAATAGCGCCTGTTTGCGTTGGAAGAATAAACATTTGTCTATGTTTTATTTCTAGTTGACATATTTTTCTCTTCACATTTCTGTATTATGCGCTTTCGACCGATTTTTTAATACAAAGTATAACTTTGAATTGCTGTTTTTAAACATATGTGCTGGTACGTTAATAGATCTATACTTCTATGGCTCACATAGCTGTCGTTATGGTCCTGGGTTCGAGTCTCAGACAGACCATAAATTGGTTGCATCGCGTAAATTGTTACTAACGCTAATCGGTTACATTTTCTAAAGCTATCTCTGACGCGTCTTTAAGAGTTAATGAAATTGCAAAAGTGTGCTGGTACTTCTCTGATAGCAGAGTGGACCGAGGAAGCAACGATTTGGTTGTGCGGTCTGCTTCGGCAGATTTGCCGTCGGGATGTCGTGGTTGATTAAGTGATCCTACGATGCTCATTTAAGACCGGGGAGGTTCTGTTGGGTGTTAGTGGGCAGTACTGACTTTTCTAGCCCACCCACTGAGTTACACACAACCACATATACCTATGTATACAGATGTATGTATGTATACAGCCCTTTTTAACGTCCCACTGCTGGGCACGGGCCTCCCTTCAGTACGAGGGGAATCAGGCCATAGTCCACCACGCTGGCCAAGTGCGGATTGGCGGACTTCACATGCCTTTTGAAAACTTGCTAGGTTCTCTCAGACATGCAGGTTTCCTCACGATGTTTTTCCTTCACCGTTAAGACAAGTGGTAATCATGTTGGAAATGATTCGCACATGAAAATATCAGAGGTGCAAGACCCGGGATTTGAACTCGCTTCACTCGGTTTTCCAAGCGAGCGCGTTACCACTGGGCTACCACTGCCTATGTATACAGATGGTATGCGTAAATACATCTCCTATACATATAATAAAATTGTAACTAAGCCGAATCTGTAATTAAATATTTTTTGGTAAATCTTATTGAGATAGATATTATTATCGATACAGAGGCCGAATCTATAGTTTTTAGAATTTTTGTCTGTCCGTATGTCTGTCTGTTACCCCATCACAGAAAAACTACTGGAGGGATTTTGATGAAATTTAGTATGGTGATAGCTGGTTGGAAAATCTCATTTCTGACAACTGATAAATGTCTAACTGATAAAAACTGATGTAAAACCTAAGAATTTGGTTCTTGGTCATCCGAACGCGGGCGGAGCCGCGGGCAATGCTAGTGAAGGAATAATATCACTGCGACGCCCATTAGATGGGGAAGGTTCTATAAGAGGGTAGTACTGTTTGTTTCTTGCTATTGAGATTCCATATGGTGGTATACCAAGCAGTCGGAAACATACATACATACAAACGTATTTCATACTTCTTGTGGGTCTTACTACATCTTGTAAATTTCCATCTTTTAGTCACATTTTACGCAGTCGACTTTTGTTTTTGTAATATATTTGTTATTCACCTTCAATTGTAGGCATTATACGATGTGTAATTAAAAACACATAACGATAAATTTAATTTTCAAACAACAATACATCAATGATTAATTCAATATCAATTTACAAACAACACGTGCAGCAAAATAATACGCGAAGCAATCGTAAAAATGCGATAAAATACTGACTAGCTCTCTTGTTCTTACTTTGTTTTAGAATAAACCTAATATTTGTATATAGTAGAAATAGAATTAATATTTTAAGTCAAAAGCAAAATACAGAAATTAAGTGTCCTCAAACGAGTACACTTGAAATTTTATAATCCTATTAATACCTACTATACCTAAATGCGAAAGTTTGTGAGGATAAATAGATGTATGGATGTTTGTTACTCTTTCACGCAAAAACTACTAAATGGATTTTAATGAAACTTTACAATAATATAACTCATACATCAGAAAAACATATTAGCTACTTTTTACAACTATTTATTGATTATAAATTATTATTATAATCTATGTACATACGTTTTCCGTGGGATAGTTTTGTTTTGTTTTTTAAGAGGCGAACCCGAGCGAAGCGATTACTAGTTTACACTAGAGTTTTAATTACTTGGTTTGAGATGTAATATTAAAATATATGCGTAAGTATATAAATAAATAAAAAGGTAAACATTATCGTTTTTCCAAAACATAATTATATAATAGATTTTTTTCTATCAAGACGTCAACGCTTCGCTTCACTCGGGCACGTTAAGCGAGGGTAAGAAAATTTTTTGAAATTTCTTTTAGGATTCGATCAGCTTTGGAGGGCAAAGAGACAAAGCCATAGACAAAAGCATTTACTTTATTATTTTTATTATATAAATAAACTAGCGACTCACCATCGCTTCGCTCGCGCTCATCCCTAGGTACGTTTTAACGGTAACTATGGAATAGATAAACTATATATTATATGATATATAGCCTAGGAGGGCTTGAGGACAATAAACGGTCTATGTAATGCTAATGCTAATAATCGAATTAGTAGTTACTGAGATTATCGCGTTCAAACAAACATACAAACAAACGAACAAACAAACAAACTCTGTCTCTTTAAAATATTAGTATACATAATTTCACCCAATAATTCTTAACAGAGAATGATTGCGATATTTTTATTACAAACATTTTTATCGACACTAGCATTTTTCTGTATATATATATTATTTTCAGCAAACTGCTTCCAAGATTTCACCATGAGCCAAGTATATAAGAATTTCATTTCAAAGTACTCACAATTATAATGTTTTTCAATAACATTATTAGATTAGCAGTTTTAATTAACAAGTTAGTATTTAGCTTAACTTTTGTAGAATTCGACTCAAATGAGAGTGATTTAGAAAATGAAAATCATGTTTCTTATGTATATAACTCAGATGTTAGTGAAGAAGAAATAGTAAGTCTTCTAGAAGAAAAGTATAGATTTAGAAATGATAATACTACTAAAAGATTTCGTATAGCAAGTGGAGGAAAAGCCTATCCAGGTACGAAATTATTATTTTTTAAGTAGGTATATTATGAACATCACTAATTTTAGGATATCCAAATATTGATCTTCTGTTATTTTAAATAAAAAAAAACTTCTTCCAACTCTTATAGTTCTCTACGCAATCATAATAAACATAAAAAATTATGAGGGTGGATGTATGAATGGATTAACTGCCTCGGTGGTGTAGTGGCTAGCATGTACGGCTGCACACCCGGAGGTTCTGGGTTCGAGTCCCGGGTCGGGTCAAGTTTAGTTATTGAGTCTTCCTGTATAGTAAGCCTCAGTAACAGCCCGGAGTTGGGAAGGTGGCGGTGTTTCACCCCCGTGCCTCAGAGAGCACGTAAAGCAGTCGGTCCTGCGCCGACACTCTCACTGGTCGTGTCGAGCTGTCGTCCCACCGGAGTATGAGAGTGACAGGAATAGAGAGTGCACGTTGTGTCCGCGCGTACACTTGTACACTATAATATCTCCTGCGCAGTTGGCTAGTCTCAATGAGATTGGCCACCGTGGCCATAGTCGGTCAGAAGAACATCATCATGAATGGATGTTTGTTGCTGTTTTCAGAAAAAACTAAACAATAAATTTTAATGGAACGTCGCAGTAATATAGTTTATACATTAGAGTAATGGATATGCTATAATTTATGAAGATCTAATCTATACTTCTATACTAATATTATAAATGTGAAAGTTTGTGAGTATGGATGTACGTTTGTTACTCTTTCACGCCAGAATAGCTGAACGGATCTGGATGAAATTTGGCACAGAGATTATAGTTTGTATACCAAATATAGGTTACTTTTTATTCCGGAAAAATGTACGGTTCCCGTGGGATAGGTTTGTTTCTGTTTTCCTAGAGGCGAACCCTAGTGAAGCGAGGGTGAGCCGTTAGTAATATATAAATAAGCTACATAGGCGAAGCTGCGAGAAAATGCTTATATTAAGATAAAGAATGCTGTGCGTCGTTAATACAAAACTTTTCGAATTTATCAATAATATTATAAAATCATGGGTATTTATTTCCTACAGCAATGCTTATACTGTTAAAAATATTTGTAAAATCACAAGAAAATATTATCAAAACATATAAATTTAGAAATCCGTTTATGGTGTTGCAGAAATAAAATACAATTCTAGTAATATTACATTATACATAACAAAATTGCTAAAATGAGTGGTAATTTTACCATATCTTTATGTAATTAAAGAACAACAAGCAATTTTACAAAAAAAAATATCGAAATATTACAAAGAAGCGTTGGTTTAGGTACTGCACTTGTAATTCGATTTACTGCAACGGTTAGTAAAATCACTATAAATTATTGTGATTAAAATTACAATATTATAGTTGAAAAATTACAAAGGAGAATTTCTTTTTACAACATTTTTTGTAAAATAACAACAGTATATGACGATAGTATAATGTTTGTGTAATACCCAAATACACAATGTAATTTTACAACATGGAATGCTGAATTTCAAGGGAATCCATAATAATATTATAAATGTGAAAGTGTGTTTGTTTGTATGTCCTTCTTTCACGTCGAAACGGAGTGACGGATTGGCGTGATTTTTAGTGTAGAGATAGTTGGAGGGCTGGAAAGTGACATAGGCTACTTTTTACCGCGAGATATTACCTAACTCCCACGGGAAAACACTTTATAATACAATCTAAAAAAAATTTATGATAATAATTACTTGAAATTTGGTATTAATGCTCTTCAATAAAATTAAATAAATAAGTATGTGTTTTAGCCTTTTTGAAATTCATCATATAAGGGGGTAAAAGAGGGAAGAATGTTTGTATGAAACTACTTTTTTCGAGATTTTTTTTATAGTTTTAGCGCGAGCGAAGCTGCGGGTCCTGCTAGTGTTTTATAAATTTAAAAATTATTTTCACAACACAAATATAGTAAAAAATGTTTTGAGTAAAAACTTCTGACGCTTTTTTTGTAATATTACAATAGAAATTTTTAACACTGTAATTATCAGCAGGGATCAACCATTTCTTTATTTATTTGGCGTAACAGATAAAATTTCAGATAGTTATGAATAGTTAAATTCTCTGATTTAGAGATTAAATTGTCCAAAACAAAGCTAGAAGCGCAAATAAATTTAAAGACTGTTAGGACCGATTTTGATGGAAATGAACTGGCTTACACTTGTTTCTTTATGCTCAGGTGACTCTCTAGGTACTTAAGCGTAGCCAATTGCTACAGGACTGTACTGTAATAGTTTATTTGTGTACAATTTCATACAAATCGATCCAGCCGGTATAGCGTGAAGAACAAACAAACATATACAAACAAACTTTCACGTTTATAATACAAATCCGAATGCATTTTAAATCCAATACCGGAAGCAATCTTATTTATTACAATGAACGATAGATTCGCTTACGATTGAAATTAAATTTTTTAATCTGTACATTAAATATTTTTTAGAAAATCTTATTTAAATTGTCATTATTATCGATACAGATGCCGAATCTATAGTTTTTAGAATGTTCGTCTGTCTGTCTGTATGGCTGTCTATGTGTCTGGGAACGCATCACGAGGAAACCAATGGACAGATTTTGATGAAATTTGGTATGATGATAGCTGGTTATCCGAGTTGACATATATAATACTTTTTACTACTGTAAAATTTATATCATCAGACGTACCTAGAGATGAACTCGAGCAGAAGTTAGTCGCTAGTTATTTACTACATAACATGAATGCATGGTACTCCTATATGCAAATTCAAGTATTTGCAAATTAAACCAACTATTTTTTTTTAGTATTCCCAGAAAAGGATGATAGAAAACTAGCGTGGGCCTTTCGCACTTATGCTGTAAGACGCATCGTTGGAGGAATGGACACGAGCATCAGCATGTATCCTTACAACGTAGCAATATCAAGAAATGGAAAACATTGGTGTGGAGGATCTATCATAGATGAACAGTGGGTTTTGAGTGCTGGACACTGTTTTGAATCGTAAGTATACATGAGACTCGTTTGGCTCAGTTTGTAGTGGCTCTACTTGCTGTGCCAACGGTCACGGGTTCAAGTCCCGCTGGGGGAATTCATTTGTGTGATGAGCATGAATGTTTGTACTCCAGTCATGGGTGTTTATATTTATAATATGTATGTATTCAAAGTTATGTGTGTAGTTTTAAAGTCCAGTTTTAATAGACTTTAGTCAACACTGCTTATTTATTATTTAATTTTGGATAAAAATAGACTTCTGAGTACAAGGAATAGCAGAAATCCATTTTACTATTTCTATGAAAAAATCCCCTAGAGTGTTGATTTAGATGAGAGGATATGGTTTATTATCATAACACGCGAGTGTTGAAAGCTTATTACATAATAATAACAAAGAAATACAATGAATATAAAGGCAGTGGTAGCCGAGTGGTAACGCGCTCACTTGGGAAACTGAATGAAGCGGGTTCAAAGCCCGGGTCTCGCACCTCTATTATGTTTATATAGATATTTTTATGTGCGAATCATTTCTAACTCGATTACCTCTTGCCTTACGTTGAAATAAAACGTCGTGAGGAAACCTGCATGTCTGAAAAAACTTAGCAAGTTTTCGAAAGACATGTGAAGTCCGCCAATACACACTTGGACAGCTTGTCGACTATGGCCTGATCCTTCTCGTACTGAAGGGAGGCCCGGCCCGTGCCCAGCAGTGGGACGTTAAAAAGGGCTGAATACACAATGAATAAGCTATGTTTACTTCTATAATAGATTTTTACATTTGTCATCAAAATAGTATAGTAATACTTTAAGCAGTGGCAAACACTGGCACTAAGCCAAACCTAAGTGACCACATGAAATGTGCAATTTATACTTTCCACGAATACATTTTTGTGGATAAAGTTATCTATACAAATAACAGAAATAAATTAAAATAAAATTGCAAAATGAGGTCATAGTACACAGACACATTGATTATACTACAGTTCTTATAGTCCTGGGATCGAGTCCCGGGTTGATGACAATTGTTTAACATATGTAAAGCTAGCAAGGCAAAGTGAGCTGAATCGCTTAAAACTAAGCCCATAAATTAGTGCGCATTTAGTTTATTGTAGATTGTAGAGGGTGATTCGACTATGTTCTAATCTATCATATGGGATTGCCATTCGACCGGACTAACACCTTTTCATGTATTTTATTGAAATTATGCCAAGGAGATATTACGATAGGAAAAACATAACAAAAATAAATTTAAAGTCTACTACGGTTACATGCTTCGATCAAAAAAGTACTAAATACACAATCAGCGACAAAAAATGACCCCACCGAATGAGCGCTCATTTGAACGATTGAGCGCGCTTTTAATTTAGTTTTTTTTTGTGAAAACAACAATAAGCATTGCATTTAAGGTTCAATTTACATTGTTGTATATTTATTTCAACTGGAACAACTACCTAAGCACAATTAGTGACAGTTTTAAGAGAACTTATGCATGGGATTGTGTGTCTAGTAATAAAATCGTTTGGTTGTTTCATTTTGTCAATTTATAAAGTATTTTATGGAGATTTTTTATGTAATATTGAAAAATCATCCATTATATAAAAGCTTTGATTCATCACATCTTTTAACGATACTTAGCCTCATAACTTTCGATATAAAAGTTTTAATTGTTACAGAGCTTATGATGGAGATAAAAGGAAACTTCTACCTTTTATATTGAGAGCTGGAAGCTCATTTCACAACAGAGGAGGCTATCAAGCTAGAGTAAATAAGGTGGTTTGATTATATCAAAATCAATTCCAAGATGTGTCAATTATAATTTACAGGAGGATAAGTGGCTGACTGATGAAGAACTGACTAAAGGATTTTATCCAGAAAAAAATATTGGGTTCCCGCGGGATAGCATTTATAGTAACTAAACTAGTGACTTACTCTCGCTCCGCTATAGTTCGTTTCTAGTTACATTTTAACGCTTAGTACAGATTTCTCAGAGATGAGATATTTCCCCGCAGTAAAAATTATCCTATATGTTGATCCAGATAACCAGCTATCATAATATCAAATTTCATTGAAATCTGTCCAGTAGTTTTCTCGTGATGCGGTCACAAACAGACAGACAGGAATTCAAAAAACTATAGATTCGGCCTCTGTATCGATAATAATCACTATTTTAATAAAATTTTCCAAAAAATATATAATGTACAGATTCAATTCAAAATTTCATTATATGTACATATTATAGATTTAATGCAGATTTGTTAATTTTTTTTGTGTTTAGTCACTAAACTGCTATTAAAGAAATATTTTTTAACAAATCTCATTAGAAATCTAAAGTTTAGTTGTTAAAAAATAAAAAGTATTAAGTTTTACGAATCTATGAAAATTTGTACATTTATTTTTATGAAACTGAAAAAGGTTGCACAAAAAAGATCTCAGAGGTGCAGAGGATAAAAATAATGTGCTATATAGACCAACTAGAAACCGTTTTAGCCACATTTAATATACATGATCATTCAATCATTGTGTGGAAGAACCGTGTGAGAACCGAAACTGTTATTTTATTCATATTATGTAGATTCAGTCACACATTATGTTATTGAAAATTGAAAAATAAGGAAACGAAAGCTACATCTAACATCATAACTAACAATATCTGCTTACATAAACCTATTTTGCTTTCAGGTTTTCTTCCCAGGTGGATATTCTCCTGGGAATGCTGACTTTGACTTCTCGCTATTACGCTTAGATCGCCCATTACCCATAGGACGGAATATAGCTGTTCTAAATCTGCCTGCGCCAGCCTATTCTATTGATGTGGACGACATACTGATAGTCACCGGATGGGGAAGTACTCATGTAAGTCCTAGTACTAAATTTGAACATTGAAAAGAATACTCCCCACTAATTTTATACTTATACTCCACTACCTTTTTATTTAGAATTAGTTTTCGCCCAGTGGTGCAACTTTAACCAAAATTATTGAAAATTTGAGGAAAGCATAGTATATAAATAAGCTGGTTGAGGCTTGTATGAAAACGCATAATTTGTTGGGCTCGAGCCTCCCTTACTAGATGAAAGGGATATACACATATCCATGATTATTTTCACTTAATATAAAAAAAATGTGTTGTCTGTCTTTGAGAAAGTTACCACTGGCTTGAGTAAGTAACTTAAGAGTAAAATAGTTAGATGTGAACTGTATAAACCCAGACAATGCCAACGTTTACAAGTTTGATACTTCAACGATTAAAATACCTCCAAACTGAATTTCAAGTAAGGGGACTTATTCGATTACTTGCACAAGTATTTGCGCAAACATGTTGCATTAATTTCATTCTCTCAGCCATAGGGACATGGGGAAGACATAGGGAACCAGGATACATAGGCAGTAAGACAACCTATACCTACCTAACGACCTGTTACAACAGATTAAGCATAGCACCAGGAGTTTTACCTGTTGCCTATTTTTTTTTTCAGGAATCAGGATATGGCCACATTCCAGACAGACTTCGCTTCGTACCAGTACCGGTAATGTCATTAGAGAAATGTCAAAATGCTTATAATTTCTACATCACGCCTAGAATGATATGCGCGGGATACGCGACAGGGGGGAAAGATGCTTGTAACGTAAGTTTATACAAAACTTCTTCCTATCGACTTTTACTATTTTATGTATGAAAGAATAGTGCATGGGCGACCGAGATTCTATTTTCGGAAAAGATATGAAAATATAAAATGTGGAATATGCGTGTTTTTTTTATTCTTGTACAATAGCTTACATCGTTATATATATATATATATATATATATATATATATATATATATATATATATATATATATATATATATATAATTGTAAAAAAATATCGGGCTCCAAAAAACTAAAATTTAGCAATTTCTTTTTTAAATAGCATACCGAAACGGATACTTTAAACGTCCGCCATTTCGCGCGCTTGGCGTGACGTCACAGTATATTATACACAGAAATACGACTTTTGCTTAAGCGATAAAATCGTTAATCGCTCAGTTATGATATGCTCTGACGTAATATTCAGTCTGACCCATGGTGTTCGTTTCAACTACTTTGAATTTCCCACATATATTTGCACTTTTTAATTATTATTTTCTTAATCAAAAAGGAATTAATTATATTAAAAAATATTGATATAGGCTTAATTCAAAGGTAATAAAGATTATAAAGAAAATATTTCACCTTTATTTAAATCACACACATATCCATCAAAAACACACATCTCTATAGATAAACTTAAAAAGCAAAACCTTATCTAAATACAAAATTTGATCCAAATCAAATGTACCAATTGTGTTTAATCCCTCCACGACCGCGGACACGCCGACGTTATAGTTAACAATAGATTTCTTAGAATCTTAATTAATTTCTTAGAAATTTACCTGGAGGTGTTATGTAATTATTCTAGTTGAAATAAATATACAACAATCTAAATAGAACCTTAAAAGCAATGATTAAAGTTGTTTTCACAAAACAAAAAATAAAAACGCGCTCAAATGTTCAAATGAGCGCTCATTCAGTGAGGACATTTTTTGTCGCTGATTGTGTATCTAGCTAGTACTTTTTTGATCGATACTTAATAATTATATTTTGGTAATATTTAGTACTTTTGTACTTTTAGCATGATTCAGGAGGTCCAGCAGTCAGAGATGGGGTTCTAATTGGGGTGGTTTCCTTTGGTGGTAAAAAGTGTGGAGATCCCCGATTCCCCGGCGTTTACAGTCGAGTGTCATCTATTACTCAATGGGTTGACTTAACCATAAGATCTAATGAAGCATTTACTGTCCCGGAACTGAAAGCAAATATTAGGAAGGCCAGGCAAAGGGAACGGGAGTTGCAAAAGTGAGTAGATGTGTTCATTTCATAGATGCTTTATTATTTAGTAAGGTGATTAGTATTTTTAGCCGACTGCGGTGACGCCCAAAAAAGGGTTATGTGTTTAAGCTGTATGTTTGTCCGACCCTAGTTGGTGTAATTAGTTATTCCATTGTAACTAAATGGCTTAACCGATTTTGATGATTCATACGACGTTAGATTCATCTTGATAACGCGCGTGTCATAGATATCATTAAAAATTACATATTGTATATACGTAGCAAGACTTGCGGCTAGTATAAAACATGTACATACATACTCGTATGTCTCCGAAAGCTTATACTATGCTCCTTCGTATACTTGTTCTCATCTTTTTAGTTTACTTTTTACGCGTTTGGATTTTTTTGTAGTCACTGCTATTCCCATAAATGGAGTTGTGACATTCTGGAAGATATATTAACGAACACTGGAAGATAAATAGTGTCACAACTTTTTAGTCTACTCTATAATTATTTATAAGGTTATAGGTATAATTAGCATACAGCTTATGAAGTTACTAACTGATTCATTATAGGGCACGCCAATATTTACTGTCACTAAAGCCGGGAAAACGAACGGCTTAGTATGGTATGAAAAAAAAATTTTTTTGGGTGCCGTATCAGAATAAGTATCCATATGAAGTTAGTGCAGACTGCTAATAATAATAATAATTAATAATAATAATTTATTTATTATAACACAACAACAATAAAAACTATAAATTAGATAACAATATACATTTACATTAACATATAATTAATTGATTAATTTAAAATTTATTTATTTATTTATTTCAAATCTAATCAAAATTTCAAATTTTGTGGTTGAGATCCCCTTTTAAGCAAATAATTTGCCTGTATTAGGAGACCCCGCCCTTTCATAAAAAAGTAATTTTATCTTTTAGCTGATTATAATATTATGGGTGATACTACAAACTTAAATAGATCAATTAAGACAAACAAAAAAATAAAAAATAAAAATAAAAATAAAAATTAGCGTACATATATTTGTTTGTGTATTGTGTGTGAGTGTGCGTGTGTGTATGTGCGTGCGCGTGTGTGTGTGTGTGTGTGTGTGTGTGTGTCCGTGTGTGTGTGTGCGCGTGTGTGTGTGTGCGCGTGTGTGTGTGTGTGCGTGTGTGTGCGTGTGTGAGTATTTAATGAATATATTCTAACAGTTTTTCCGTATCATTGTAACTAAGGGTTTTTATCCAATCTATTAATGTCTTTTTGCATTTATGGTAATTGTAGGGGTAAACATAAATAATACTGTTAATTTTATTATATAATTGTGCAGATCTTTTATCGAATTGCATTGACGCAAATGTTGTTCTTGTTTGTGGGATTTTAATTATATTTTCTTTCCTTCTTTTTAATGTTAAAGACGCATCATAGGAAACAGCCTTATGTACTTTTAGTATAGTTTGAGTAATATACAGCTTTCTAACTGAGAGCAGTGTGCTAACTTGGTACAGATTCTCAGTTGGAAATGTAAGTTTTTTAAAGTACATACATTTTATTAGAGCACGTTGTGCTCTCTCAAGTTCAATAAACTTCGTTTTAGCAGCTCCGCCCCAAATCGGGATACAATATGATAGCACTGATTGTACTAAGGCAAAATATATTTCATTCAAGAGATTCCTGGGGCGAAATGAGCTGCTAAAAACTTGTTTAGGGACTATGTGTCTTAGGGACCGAAACATCCAGCTCAATTTTCTGACTCTGTTTGCCACATGATCGATTTGAGAATGCCAAGATAATCTCTGGTCAATGAAAACACCCAAATACTTAGCACATGGAACCCTCGTTATATTTAAGCAACTGCAGGTAGTGCTTTTATCATTATTACACAGATGTATTTTTATATTGAAATCTTCTCTAGGTTGTTTACGTTTACATATGCTAAAGCATATATAATTTGTTTTAGAAATGTTCAGTGTGAGTAGGTTCTTAGACAACCACCTGGCTACTTTAGCCAACCCTATTTCGGCATTAAGCCGTACCAATAATGTTACTAATATTATAAATGTGAGAGTTTAGATGGATGTTTGGCTGTTTGTTACTCAATTATTCCAGAATGGTTGAACGGATCTGGATGAAAGTTGGCAAAGATATAGATTATAGTCTGGAATAGCATATAGTCTACTTTTAATACCGGAAAAATGTACAGTGGCCGTGAGATAGATTTGTTTCTGTATTCCTAGAGGTGAACCCGAGCGAAGCGAGGGTGATCCGCTAGTAAATGATATTTTGCCAAGTCTATTTTTATGTAGCACTATATTAAAATAACATTTCGGACATTTGAAGCGATAGCCACCAAAATAACATGAGATGAAATTTATTATGTCTATATAATATGATAATTTATATATTCCTTATAAATTATTATTATATGTAAATAAAAATATATGATTTTTAGGTTCAAAGCGCGTGTTGAAGAGAAGAAGAATAAAATCAAATCGTGGTTACGAAACACTTTGAAGTCACCTATATTCCTACATCTTGCTAAAAAGAAGTTAGCTGAAGCCGGCTTTATAGTCAGAAGAAACTTCAGAAGAATTTTAGCTGAACCGGAAAATATTTTAGATGATAAAACTATGGACGAAATTAATCTGTCAAATTTAATTAATGAATGGATTTTAGAAGAAGACGTAGAAAAGAACGAGGCAGAATTACTTCTAAGAGCTTTGGCGTTACAAGATGTTGTTTACAATGAAAGTGAGAAAGAGACCCTTGAAAACAAAATGGAGAGTGATAATGACATGGAAGCACTTATTGCTATTTTAAAGTAGAAATTTAAGTTGTTTAACTGAAAATCGACCTAAATTAAACTAAAATCGTCATTTCTTTTATTTTATCTTGTGGAAAGTTTATTTTTCAATCTAAACATTATAATCTTCATAGTGGAGCTTATTGAAAAACCTTGGTTAATGCGAGTTAGACTTAAGTCAAGAAGGATCCGTATATTTTCAACCGACTTCAAAAAGGAGGAGGTTCTCAATTCGACTGTATTTTTTTTATGTTTGTTACCTCAGAACTCCGTCATTTATTGACCGATTTGGACAATTTTTGTGTTGTTTGAAAGTGTATACTTCCAGATTGGTTCCATTTAAATTTCAAAAAAAATACCACCCCTAAGGGTGGAAAAATAGCTAATGATGAATTTAACCTACTTCTAATTGTCATGTTGACTTGAAACTTTGCAAGTGTTTCTATTTCCGTTCATAGTACAGTGGTTCGGTATTGTTGACCTGATCTGATGGTAAGGCCAGAAGGTGAATAGGTGGAACTCTTCAACGGCTAATAGTAGATACTTTGAGTTTGGGCTTATTTTGTTCGATTTGACAAGCCGAACACGTTAGAATTCTTACTTTACTACTACTATCTACACTAAAAAGGGAAAAATAAAAACTTTTTAATAAAAAAATTAAAACCGACTTCAAACAAAAGCACTAAAAAGTAAAAAATAACTGATTGGTAGTTTTCATTTACTATACATACCTAATCAAATATTTTCGAAGTCGGTGTGCTTTGGCTAAGTAATTAAAGTCTACCTATTAAATACATACCTAATCAAATATTTTCAAAATCGTAGCCAGCCCATACAAAGCAACACATTGGCTATGTTCTATCATATTTTTCTTCAAAACATAGACGTATGACTTATGAGGCTAATTCGACCGGAGAACGAGAAAATACTGTACCATCATAGAATTTACCATAATTCAAATTTCCTTCCTCATTTCCACTTCCGTTTCCGTAATTTATGGTAATAATTCGCAATTCACAACACTGTTGTGATGATGTAAAATAACAAAAATTATATCATACTATACTTTACATTACCCCATTTTAATGAACTTTGATACCATGAAAAATAAGCGATTACAAAATTAACGAAGAAAATTAATTTGAATTTAACTTATGAATTGATTTTTTTTTCATTACAAAGGTGTCGTCAGTGTGGCCAGTATAATCAATTAGTAACTGTTGTATTATATATACACTAGCATTGCCTGCGGCTCCGCCCGCGTTCAGGTGACCAAAAACCAAATTCTTAGGTTTTATATACATATTAGTATATTCTTACATTACAGTTTTTGTATTTTTTCTCAGAAATGAGATATTTTTCCGCTGTAAAAAGTATCCTATATGTTGACCGGGATGATCAGATCATTGACCATACCAAATTTCATTAAAATTCGTCCAGTAGTTTTTCTGTGATGCGGTAACAGACAGACAGACAAAAATTGTAAAAACTATAGATTCGGCCTCTGTATCGATAATGTCTATTTCAATAAGACTTTCAAAAAATATTTAATGTACAGATTCGACTCTGTTAGAATTTTATTAGGTATATGTATAGATTAAAATAACGAAACCTTACAGTATGTACATCTTGTCGTGTAGTCGCGGGTGAAAACTAGTTTAAAATGATTTTTATTGGTATAGAACTAAATTGCCTGAAAACCATAAAATATAACGCGCTGCTTTCCGAGGACTCGTTAATATTTAATAGCGGAATTGTTTCTTTTCCATTTTTCTAGCGGTCGAAAGAATCTTGAAATATAGTTTTTTTTTTGTTAAAAATACGTATTTTACATTATTACAATGATTTTCTTTGTAGTTTTTAGTTAATATTAATTATAATTAATAAAAAGTATAATTATATAAAATAATGCTTTTAATAAATTCCTTTTACAACTTAATAGTTTTTGTTTCAGTGACATCTAGAGTTCAATTGAGGAACTCCCTCCCTACTATATTCTTTTAATTAAGTTGTTATTGAACAATAGATGGCGATAACGTTTTAATTTAGTTTTATTACCAGCGACCTCGATAACAAATTGAAATTTAAATATATATTTTATTATCACATACTCTCATTATTTTCTTACATTAAATTCAATTATATATTTTATTTATAAAGTTTTCGATGTCTCCTTGACATGTTTATATTGCAGCGCCATCTAGCGTCTAGAGTCTAATATAATATAAGAACTTACTACTTCGTTTTTCAAATGATGCTATTATAATATAATAGATGGCAGTGTTAAGATATTTTTATTTCATGTACTTTTTAATTAAATAATGTTTTATTTAGATATTAGCAATATAGAAAAGTGTAGAAATCGTATTTGATATTAGCAATGTACTTGAGAAGTATTTTAGAACTATGTAAAAAAATATATTCGGCTTTTTAAATAAAATCTATATTTGAACTTTACTTGGCGTAGTGTCGTTTATCAAATATTATCATATCTTATATAGGAACAATTTTAACGTAAAATCAAAATAATTAAATTATAAAATAAACTTTTGTAAAAAGGTTTTTTTATATATAAATGTACTAGCGACCCTTGCTTCGCTTCGGCTTCCCTAGACAAAAACAAATCTATCCCACGGGAACCGTACATTTTTCCGGGATAAAAAGTAACCTATGTGTTAGTCCAGACTATAATTCATATCTGTGCCTTTCATACAGATCTGTTCAGCCGTTCTGACAAGTAACAAATATCTATCCCCACAAACTTCCACGTTTATATTATTAGTATGGACAAATAAGGAAAATTATTTCTTTTGCAAGCGCTATCATGTTTGCATAAAACACTCAGTTTTCTTTTTTATTATTAGAACTGCATATCTTTTTCCGTGGCTTCACTCCTCATAATTGTCTAAGCTAAGTGTAATGCCCGATTTCACCAACGTCACCTAAGTTTAAGGGATCCCCTAAGCATGGTTAGGGGGCTGTTAGGGGACACTTTCTGTTTCACTGACAGTTAGAGGTCACCTAAATGTTAAAATGCCACCTAAATTTAGGTGCTCGAAATATGGGCTTAAAGACGATGGTAAAACGAATTTTAATTTAGGGGCTAGTTTAGGGGAACTTTTAAGCTAGAGATCCCATACGTAGGTGGTAGCTTATGGGTTATTGGTGAAATCGTGCATGAGACTCTCTAGGAATCTAGTCCTAGACTCCTAAGGACGTTATTTTAGAAAGCCTGTAACGTTCCAGAATACGTTACTATAATTTTGTTCAAATCTGACTTCGTTTCAGAGTTTAATGCGTTCAAACAAACAAAAAATCTTTTTAGCTTTATATTATTTCTATATATTGTTTATTATTATCCAAATCTAATATTTGTTTGACTATAATTACAAAAAAACAGAGGTACTAAATGGCATACCTTGCTATTCTGTATTAAATAAATTCTCACATACAAATCTTATAAATTACATCCGGGATTAGAACTCGCCGAAGAGCCTTTTTTTACTTTGAAGCCATTAACAAGAAAATTGAAATGAATTGTCTTTTTTTGATATAAATATATCTATACGAAGAATAAAAAAATCATCTTTTGGTAAACGACTAGCGTCAAACTATATTATATATATATATAAATGAATCCCTATTTCCCTTGGTCACGCCATCACGCGTGAACGGCTAGACCGATTTAACTTTTTTTTGTTGTGTTTGTTATTGTCAGGAGAAGGTTCTTATGAAAGAAAAAATTGAAAAATTAACGAAAAAAATTTAAAATTCATATGGCTAACGCTGGCTAATAACTATTTATATCTATTTAAAACATACCTAGCGACGAACCCGAGCGAAGCGAGAGTGAGCCGCTAGTACTTTATAAAAATCAATTGCCGTTCGTCTCGCTAAAACTAAAAAACGGCTGGACCGATTTGAATAATCCTTTTATTGTTTTGTTGGGGGTGTGTCAGGGATGGTTTATATATAAAAACAATAGCGAAAATCCAAAAAGCAGCTGAAAAAACAGTGCAAAGTTAAACAAAATTTAAACAAAACCATCTTTTCGGATTATTTCTACGGGATTCAGTGACAAACGAGCAGACAGCCCACCTGGTGGAAAGCGGTACCTGTCGCCCATAACACCTACGGTTCATGCACTTAGGTTTTATGTTATAAAAATACAGAACCGTAGGTGCGTTGTCACTGTGGGGACTTAGATGATCTGCCTCTTGCCTGTAATTGCGCTGGCTACCTTATCCTTCAAACCGAAACACAACAATGCAATCATTGTTGCTTGGCGGGAGAAATAGATATAGAGGTGATACCCATCCAGTCGAACTCCTCAGGCTTGATAGAGTCCTACCACCAGTCAAGTCGGTTTTGATTTTTGGTTCGCCAAGTGCCAACGTTTAGCAGATTTAATTACTAACCTATGTTACATACAAACTCTTGCATTAATATTATTACGGTTGTACGGAACCCTTATACCAAAGTATATTAAAAGATTTTTTTACAAACAATTTATTATTCTAACCTCAATTCGATGTTTAATCATTGCTCATATCAATGCACTTTCTGGAGATCAGTGTACGATAAAAATGCACGACTGATAACAAGAAGGTCAATATGCGATTATAAATTATAAAAATGTGGAATGCAATTTTATGCAAAAATTCAATTTCCGTGAGATTTGAACTCCGTTTTAAGCTTTATAGCTATTTCAAATGAACTGCGTCGTTGGTCTAGTGGTTGAAAAGCAAGAATTAAAGTGTATAATTATCGAGTTTGTTTTGATTTATACTACATTAGCACTACCCGCGGCTCCGCCTGCGTTCAGATGATAAAAGGCCGAATTCTTAGGTTTTACATATTAGTATACTCTTACATTGCAGTTTTTGTATTTTTACTCAAAAATGAGACATTTTCCCGCGGTAAAAAGTATCCCATATGTTGACCCGGATAACCAGCTATCACCATACCAAATTTAATCAAAATCCCTCCAGTGGTTTTTCTGTGATGCGGTAACAGACA